GCTGGCTGGCATGTGGTGCTGGGGGATTGAACCGCGATCCCTGATGCTTTGCTAAGCTTGTTCTAAGTAGGTGCTTTAGACCACTGAGCCATCTCACCAGCCCCAGATTTTACATCGTTTAAAGGTAACCTAGCTCATCTCTCTCCGGAGACCCTTTTTTTCCTCTCAACATTTAGACATGTTACTGTCACATGCAGGGCTTATGGGCTTTGATTAATGTTACTCAGAATTAAAAAGAAAGCTTCCAATTTCTAATCTAACTGATTTCCTCAACCTCAGAAAGCGTTCCTCACCTTCACTCTATTGTCTGGGGTCACAGACAAGCTGCATTCATCCAAGCGATACCCTAAGAGTCAACTCTACTACTTTTTTTCTTGAACCACATGAAAGCTTTCTATTCCCTCCAGTTTCATGAGACAATATGTACTGAGGATAAAATTGAGTAAGAAAAGGTTCATTGGAAAATAATGAGATAGATCATAAATGGGCCTACTTTTTGGTGAAAGAAATCAGCAAGAAACAAGTACAAAATCAGCACGGAAAGATGCTGTTCTCATATGAAAACTTTTTACAGAATGTGATATTATGTGAAAATATACATTAAAATTTTAACTGAAGCAGAATTTTTGTCCTTTTTTATAGATAAATTTATGTACATACATTACATGAAAATCATATATGTGTATATACATACTTAGAGAAAATTCTGAATTTTTCAAGTAGCAAGGAGGGATCTCCCTCTTTTTTAGTTAATTAATTAATTAGGTACAGGATCTCGCTATTCAGCTCAGACTCATATTGATCCTCTTGTCTCAGCCTCCCCAGCACTAGGATTATAGGCACGTACCACCATGCCTAGTTTCAGTGGCCAGAACAGCGCACCCAGGGTTCTGGGGTGAGCACAACATGCGGTACCAGGAATTGAACCCAGGTCCCTGAGCTTGCCAGGCACACGCTTAGACTGCCAGGTTATTTCCCCAGCCCCAAGAGATCTCTTAAGAATACATTTATTATTCAAATGATTTGTACCCTGAACAGTATAAAACACTGTAATCTCAAAGGAGAAGGAGTATAGTTTGTAAACTAAAGAAAGGCACCTTTTTTTTTTTTTTTTTTTTGGTAGTACCGGGGATTGAGCACCTCAGGGCCTCTGCACTGAGCTATATCCCTGGACTTTTAAAATTTTTAAGTTTTTTAAAGATAAATTTTAACTCTTCTCAAAGGAAGAATCTGTTTGCTCTTAAATTCCACATGCTGTCCTTGGGTTACCATCTCTGCACACATACACATTGGCCTTAAAGATAAAAGGCTTCTGCCAGATGCTACCTAACTTTGGCTGACTTCTACGACTTTTTGGAGCCACTCTTCACCAATATTCTACTTTTAAAGTTTGGCCTTTGCTGAATATAAAGCTTGCATATTAAAAAAAAAAATACTGTCCAATGTCCTCCTAAACTCTCTTGTGTTCAGGAATGGGGCATTTGGATCACAGGGTTGACGCACTTATCAGTGGACTTAACATTTTGAGTTAATAGCTGAATGTGATGTTAGGTGTTGGAACCTGGTTGGGGGAGGGGAGAATCGCTGAGGGCATAAATTCCCTGGAATGTATATTCTTGTTCCTGTCTCTTCCTTTCTCTCTCTGCTTTCTGGCCCATGTGGGTTAAAACATTTTCTGCCATCAGGCCCTTGTACCTCTCCAGTTCTGCCTCATAGCCTGCTGTCCACGAACTCAACCCTCCAAAACCATGAGCCACAATAAACATTGCTTTCTTTATTTTTTTATTTATTTTTTATTTTAAATTTTATTTATTTATTTATGTGTGTGTGTGTGTGTGTGTGTGTGTGTGTGTGTATGTGTGTGGCCAACTCAGCCCACCAGGGGGTGGGACTGGCTGGCATGTGGTGCTGGGGGATTGAACCGCGGTCCCTGTGCTTTGCTAAGCTAGTTCTAATTAGGTGCTTTAGACCACTGAACCATCTCACCAGCCCCAACATTGCTTTCTTTAAGGTTCCATATTGGGTATTCTGCTCTGGTGACAAGAAAATAAGCGACTATTCTATCTCCCACATGGTGGCCACTAGGTAGGTATAGATATTCTAACTGTGTCGATGGGGGTTATCATTTATATGCTATAGATCATATTGTACATCTTCATCATATACAATTTTATGTCAATGATAGCTCAAAAAAAGCTAGTAAAAGAAATTTCCAGGTTAAAAATGGAAGAGAATGCCTTTGTAAGTATGGGAAAATTGGCATGCTCTTCCTCGTCAGCCTTAACAATGAGTCCTGCAGTCACAGTCTTGCTGTCCTTAGGGAGTAGCCTACAGTGGCACTCAAGTCTGAGTGTCCCTCCCGGCCCTGCAAGCTCACCACCTGCACTTCTCCCTCCCAGTGTTTCACCCAGCACCTGCTCTCTGCTCTGCTGGCAATGGCTTACCTGATTCCTTTCTCAAGATATATTCATTCTCTCTTGTCTTCAAAATAAAATGAAAGAAGAAAATGAAACCTCAGTTCTTTCCGTACAGGGCTTCCTTCATCTCCCTGTGCTCCTAGGAAAGGCCTGCAAGAAGCTATCTGAACTCACCTAGTGTCGCTTCCTATGTGACCACCGTTGTGTTCTAATGTGGCATATTTCTCTCATTTCACTGCTCCTGCTCTCTTTCAGTCATTCATTTAACAAATACTCACTGAGCCATAAACCAGGCTGGGTCCTACAAGGTTGGGATATAAAGGTGAGAAAAACAGATATCTGCACCCCACAGAGCTTACAGTGGGAAAACTGCCATGGAGGGAGTTCACTAAAGGGAGGAGGGAGGGAGAAAACTGATGCACATGGAGAGCAGAAAACTCTGTGGTATGCTGGAAGCTGGTGAGTGCGAAGGGAAGAAAGAGACAAAAAGATAGTGGGAGGAGGGAGAAAACAGGAGGGGTGCAGTTGAAGTTGCAGGCAAAGGTTCAGCACGCTGGGTCCAGATCTTTTCCTCTAATTAAGTTCAAAGTGGATGAATGACAAGTATATTAGTTATGATCCTGGGCTTTTGAATTGTGGAGATTTAAAAGAAAATCTTATGCAAATACCATCAAGGGAAGAACCCTCAATGTCTGGAACAGAAAGCACACAAAGAAGAATCTGCAGTCTTGAAAAGGGAATGATTTTAGGATTCAAGGAAGGTCCCTAACGTACTCTTCACTCATGCAGCCTGGGGGTGTTCATTACAGTGGATCTTCATTATCTGTTTATTATATGGGGTGACAAAACTTTTCATCCTGCAAAAGAGAGGTCAAGTACAGATGAGAAGTCCAAAAAATGGGTGATCAATATTGGGTACTTAGAGAAAACTAGAGAGATGAGATTAGGCTTTGTTGATTGGGGCCCTTGATTATGCACTGGGTCCCACCTGGGCAGAATAAAAATAAGATCACAGCAGAGGAAGCCAGAAGAAATGCAGTAAGTCTGAAACTTTACAGCTGTGTCCTGAGTTGTTCCCAAGAATCCTCCTTCCCGAGTAGGCAAGCCAGCTTTGACCACGGATACAGAGGTTCAGGACAGACAGCAGTGACACAGAGACCCAGCCTGGCTTCTTTGCAACATTAGTATTGGGTAGATCAAACAGAAGCAGCAAATCTACTATTTGGTGATCATTGGTGGTGATGAACAAATTAATGATACTCGTTCAAGGAAGAAATTATTCTAAGCCATTGTGATGACAGGGGTAGGACCTGTGGCAAAGAGAGTTTTCAATAAAGGGTATAGCTAGGGCTCAACTTGCATTTACCATGGGCGAGTTGGAATGCATAGTACCGGAGCACAGCAGGAGCCAGTGTATGGACAACTACTAACTATGTGAGGTTAAAGGGGACACTGGCGCTGGAGGAGTCATTCTGGGGACAGCAAAGAAGGATCAGACATCACATAGGGACAGAGGGTGGAGGGTTAGGAACATGATCAGATGTGGACACGATCACCCATCCAGGGTGCAGGGTTCTTGCTAAGCCTACTTAGCAGATTCTTGCTAAGACTAGATTCTACAGGAAGTGCAAAGATAGGCCTAGGAGGAACGTTCTGGAGCCTGACCAAAGTTTGATGCAGTAAAGAATCATTGGCACCAGGTACCAAGGACACACTCCTGTTTTTAGACCCCTTGGGATTTACTTACTTTAACTCTGAAATGGAGAGGTTGGAATGCATCAGGGGTATCCAACTTTTTTTTTAAACAGTGGAACTACATTTGCAAATAAAGTAATGAGCAGAACACAGTACGGACAGCTTGCAACTGGAGCTGATCTCAGATGATGTCTTCGGGGAGCCCAGTAACAGGCTCATTCTGCTTCCTACTATGTCTGTACCAGCCAGCTGCATTTCTTGGCAATGGAAGATCTCTAGAATATGAGGCTTCCCTCCTCCAGCATCTTATAAATCTACCATGAACACAAATAACCAAAATACCCAGGATAGAATTATTAGTTCTAGCAGTTCCCTCAATTCTAAGAAAATTTAAGGAGAAAACAAAATTGAATGGAAGTAAGAATAACACTCTGGAGCTGGGCATGGTGGCACACACCAGTAATTCCAACACCTGAGAAGCTGAGGCAGGAAGATCACTGTGAGTTCAAGAGAGCCTGGGACACAAAGTTAGCTCAAGACCAGTCTGAACTGCACAGTGAGACCCTGTTTCAAAAAAAAAAAGGCAGAGAGAGAGAGAGAGAGAGAGAGAGAGAGAGAGAGAGAGACAGAGAGAGAGACAGAGAGAGAGACAGAGAGAGACAGAGAGAGACAGAGAGAGACAAAGACAGAGAGAGACAGAGAGAGACAGAGTCTCTGGTGAACATCCAGATAGAGTGGGTCATCAAGGAATAAAATAAAAGACCCCTCTAACTAAGAAGTGCAGACTAATCTTCAGCTCCAAGGAGCTTCAAATACACCTCATAGATGACTAAGCAGCTCTGTTCACTCACATGCAGAAATCGAAGGAAGAGACACCATTCCACAAACCTTGATTCCAAGCTCTATATTTTCTCCTCCATATACATCCATCCCAGGGTCCAGAAGACCAATTTCACCAAAGAACTTCCTGTTGACCACGAAGGAGCAGCCAATCATGGCAGGCGTTCTGTGGAAGAGACAGAGAGAGAGAGAGAGGCTAAGCCCAATGGGGCGTCAGCAGCAGAGGTCTTTCTGCAGGGTGATTTTATCCAGAAAGTCAAGTCATTTCTCCAGAGGCCTTCCATCTCTACATTCCCATCTCTACCTTTTAGCTTCATAAAAACTAGGGGAGCTGAAACATGTAGGGGTCTCTCAGCTCCTTCACAGATGGGATGAGAGCTGGGTTTCACACATGGTGTGATGTTCGCAGTCATGGAAGGGATTCTCACTGCACCATGGAAACATCTTGCAGGTCCATGGGACTTTCACGGAAGTTCAGAGGGAGGAGGAGGGGGTTCCACTCTCCACCATGGAAGTAGAAGAGATCTAATGAGCTGGGAGTGTGAAGGGACATTGGAGAGAAAAAATCAAAAGCAAAAGATCCAGTCTCCATGCTGTGATGGGAGAAAATCAATCGGGGTGCTTGGTGTAGAAAGGAGGGTGCAGACTTGAAGAAGTTGGTGGTGTCCACTGGTGTCAATTATAAATCATGGGGATATGACCTCAGGTCACAGGAAGGGGGTTGAACAGGAAAGGTGGAAAGGAAGCCTGCAGGGGACCTTGAAGTCTGAAAACAAAGATTATTATTTTATTTTCACATATGCAGAACCATTTAATTGGCTCTTATGGGGTGGATAAGTCAACACAATAGAAGCTAGAGACAGAATCACGAGAAGCAGTGTCACAGGAGGACATGTGTTCAGGGATAGGTGAATATGTTGCACTGGTGCGCTGTGCTTCTTGCACGCTTAGAGAGGAGCAGCCCACTGACACACGCTACATATTTCATTACATGAGGTAGTGTATTATGCCTCTTTCCTTGTTTCAGGATTTATGCATATCCTTGTATAATAAATATATTCAGCAAATATTTCTCAACATCTTCCCGATCTAAGGAACTTTCCTGGACTTCATTCAAGAAACTAAGAGTAAATATCAAAATATTGTACTAGTGTATGATTATTATTATGGTAGCCACACTTGAGCAGTGTTGTCTGAGGCACAGGACACAGAGCACTGTCCACGCCCTGTAACCTCCCACCATGTGAAGAGGAAGGGAGAAACACTTCTCAACAGTGGAGCCACCCAGAGATTAAGCGATCTTCCCTGCGTCACAAGACAAAGCTCAGGACCTATTTAACTTCAAAGCCCTCATGCTCTTCATAAAAGGCTTTGTGGAGGTACTTGTGAACCCCTACTTTACCAATGCCCCGAAATACTCTCCTGGGCAGAAGAGACCACTCACATAGGTGGCAATGAATGGAGTTCTCCTCAGCTTAGCTGTGGGCTGTATTCTTAGAGCCTCATTGGCTCATCCTGGTCTCTGAGTTGACTTGACCTCAGGGCCCCGATGTCTGACTATGTGGAGCTCTTCTTGGTGCTCATGTGGTGAGGAAGTTTGGGACTCCCAGGAGAAGCACAGGGATCCTTGTGGACCACGGGCACTGCCACTGGAGTTGTGTGATGTTAACTAGGGGCTCTAGAGCCTGGTTTGATCTCTACAGAGCCTGCTTCATGGATTAACTAAGCAGGTATGCAAAATGTCCAGGGTACAGAGCGGAGCACCAGTAATAACATGTCCTGCCCTCTTTCTGTGAGGCCTCTCCAGATTTTCCCACAATCTTGCCAGTTGCATTAATGCACATAGGACCCTGCCCTCTGCTGCTGCCCCTCTCTATACCAGTGATGGCAGGGCCCTCCATGGTCAGCCACTTCCTTCCGGGTCCTGAAAAGCATCACATGGATCCATCCTTTGTCTCAAGTAACCAAACTAGAGAGAACACTGGACCCAAACTGTGTTCATCAAATTCAGGTTGCTGCAAGGATTTGAAGTCCAGACAGTGCTGAGAGCCGGAACTGCAGTGTCCTACAATTAACAGTAGAGGCTACTGCTTTCAAGGAGCTCTGTGGGTCTGGTGTGCATAAGCACACATGCAGCCACAGGAGGCAAATGAGCAGCAGAGAGGACCTGGGCATCCTGGAGGCTGCAGACTGCAGATCACAAAGGACAGACGGACCCTGCCGTTAACTTGTCTACCCAGCCGTTGTGAGCACTTTGCATGCTCTCGAAAGCCTATGCCTAGAGTCTGCAAACATGTGACACTGACCAGCACATGTACTTAGGACCTCTGCAAGCTTGGTGCTTTCTAACCTCTCAGGGAAAGGCAGGGAAGTTAGCCTCACAGGGAAGAGCCTGGCCACACATGAAAGAATTGCCTTTGACACAGCTCAGTGGGCAGCAAAAATGCTTCCTGGGGATGGAGTCAGGTCTATCTGCATCAGCAACATCTCTGTTGCTTTTTGGAAAACATGGATTCTAGCCAGGCATGGTGGTGAACACTTGTAATCTCATCCAAAGAACTCTGGGAAGCCGAGGCAGCAGGATTTCAAATTTGATCTCAAATTGAGCAACTTACTGACTTAAGAGAGAACTTGTCTCAAAATAAAGAGGTCTAGGAATGTGTCTAAGCTCGAAGACCACAGGTTCAATTGTGTAGTATCACACTGCACACACCTACAACACACACACACACACACACACACACACACACACACACACACACACACCAAAATTACAGAATCTGATTTATAGAGGTGGGACTTAGGGCTTGTGTCCACACCAGGAGAACCATCCTGCGGAGCCTTCTCTATGTCAACCTGTATCAGGTCCTTCCCTTGGAGCAGAGAATCATACTTGAAACTTTTCCACATGGTTCTTGGAGCTGGTGTCATGGGTGACACAGGGCAGGTATCTGCTTAGCCCAGTAGAAAAAAGGAAGAAGTGGGGCTGGGGAGATGGCTCAGTGGAATAAGCACTTCCCTGGCAAGTGCAAGGCCTGAGTTCAATCCCTGGTTCCGAAAAAAAAAAAAAAAAAGAAAAGAAAAAAGGAAGAAGTGAACAGATCTGGGTGAAGATGCCTGGTGGGGAGGGTCTTTGGGAGGCCTCAGGGAACACAAGGACAGCAAGGCTAGAAGGGAGAAGGGAGGAAAAGAGGGAAGAAAGGGAGGGAGAGAAGATGAAACAGAGAGAGGAAGAGGAAAGGCTAGAGACGGGGAGGGAAGGAGGGAAGAGAAGAGTCAAGGAAAGGATCCAACTCTCATCACTTCCTTCCTTCCTCCCAGATCTTTCTCATGTTGTCCTGGTTAACATCACCTCTGTCAAGCAGTCTGATGTTTTAATGTAACTGGGTTTTACTGAGGTACTTTTTGGCTGAGGGTGATGGGGAGACAGTCACAGAAGAACTTCTTTCAGCTCCTCTATGGGAGACTACTCCATTCAGCATCTTGGACCAGGTTCTAACTGAAAATACCCAGGATTTCTTATAGTATGATGGTGAGGTCACCTCATGCCTCTTCACTGAAACAAAGCCAGCACTGTTCAGCAGGCCAGGCTGGTGCAAGCATCCATGAGAGGCCACTGGAAAACAGACTAGGAGGCTGTGGAGCAAACAGGAATGACCTTTGCTGTTGGTGTCACATGACACAAACTCTTAGAGGTTACTGTCAAAATGTGCCCCAGTGTCAAGAATAACCAGACAGGGACTAGAGGCGATGCAGGAAGCAGCCCCAACATGCATCCCCAGGAGGTGGCTTACCATATCCATCAGAAGTAGAAGGCCACAGTCCCATCACTCCAGGTCTGGGCCTTCCCTACGGTACAGGAGCTGCATGGACAAACTGCATGGACATACACGAATCTGCCACAGAACCCTCCTCCACTTTGAACACACACATGCCATCATTCATGCCACTTTCTGTGGCAGTTCTGCAAGTCCTCTTTCATGAATGTCTTTAGTTGCATAGTTGTGGCTGCCTCCACATCCAGAACTGATTGGAAACATTTACCTTCCATGGTTGTTTTGACTTTGGGGACAAGCCAGAAGTTGCAGGGTACCAGATCTGAACAAGGTGGATGAGGACGCATTATAATGCTTTTAGTTTGCCTTTCTATCAGAGGGCATTTTTTATCACGCATCGTAAAGATGCTCATGAAAGAGGAGTCCAGAGCTGCTTCAGAGAGTGGCAAGAATTATGGGATGAGTGTCTTCAAAGCAAGGACAGGGTGTTGAGGGGGGTTTGTGGCAATGTGTCTTTTAGTGAAATAAATTTCGCAATGTAGACATTCATGACACAGTTTGATCATGCCTCTTACGTTAAAGACATCCTCACCCCCAGCTTGGCCAGGCAGTGTTGCTGGTATTCAGGTAGTGACTACTTGGAGTCCTCCAGCTACCCGATCAGACTGATAATGAACAGTTGTCATTGTCCCCTGTCCGGGAGAAAGGGACCTCCAACAGGAAGCCACCGCCTACCCTTCCTGGGATGTGCTGTAATCCATGGCAGGCTAGAGTCTTGTCCTTTCAATCAGCAAGCCCAGGGCCCAGCCAGGCCCCATTTCCTCTCCACAGTGGTGTCCTCACCACCTGCCCAACCAAGCAAGCCGCAGTCGATGGCACTTTGGGGTTGATGAGATCTGAGAACGTGCGCACACGGCCCCATCCTTCAAACTCAACTGCGATTACTGCCATTAGTGCACACATTTCAATTCGAAATCACTCAAAAATGATAATCATATTAAGGGATCTGCCAGGGCCTAATAGCTCTATTACAGAGGAGAAGAAAAGAAATTAAAAATAATCACTTTTATTGTTCCTGTTGCACAAAATATATGCAACATATACAATAGTTCCAGCTGAGAGAGAGAGAGACAGAGACACAGAGACAGAGAGACAGAGACAGAGAGACAGACAGACAGACAAAGATAAAGAGGGGCAGCAGCCCCAGGAATCCCTCTCAGCTTCAAGGTTCCTCCTTTCATAGGTGTCCAAGAGCACCTCTGGGCTGCTCCTCCTCCCTCAATGGCTCCCTGTTCTCTGAAGTTCAGTGTCTTCTCTCACCCTTGTCCTTCTCAGTTCCTATCCAGCCGTAGCTCAGCCACTCTGGAGAATTCCAGCCCCCTGAAATCCA